TGTTTTTTGTTTGTTTTGTTTTTTAGGGAATGCAGTTGGGAAGGTTTAACAGCATCCCAGAATCCCAGACTAAAGACCGTATCATAACTACTCACAGGTGGCCGCTCTTCCTTATTCATCTGCCCAGTCTCTTGGTTGGTTGGTTGGTTGGTTGGTTGGTTGGTTGGTTGGTTAGTTGGTTGGTTGGTTGTTTTGGCCCAGAGATTCCCCACGTAAATAAACTGCCTTGAAATACACCAGCAATAAATTCAAGAGATCAAAACGTCATTTTAGCAGCAGAGGGCGCTCTCATCTCTTTCTCTGGAGGCCATCATAGCTTTATTTCAGTGTTGTAGTTATGTGACTGCCTGTGCCTGAGTTATCTGGGGTGCTTATTTAGAATGCAGGCTCCTGAACCCCAACCCCAGAGACTTTGATGCAGAACATTTGGGTGGGACTGGGAGTATGTATGTTAAGTTAGCTCCTCTGCTGATTCTAAGGCAGCCAGGGGCAAGCACCATTGATCTGGCCTACGTCAAGTCTTCTGGAGATCCTTGGAGCTGTCCGTGGTGCCAAGGAGAATGCCTCACCACTCCCCAATCTCTCTCCACCAACCTACTCCCTCTACCAAATCCAGGGGTACTGCCTTTATTCAGTCATTCATGCATGAAAGTTGGAGAGACTTAACTTATTCCTCTCCCCAGCCTCCTAAAACCATTCCATCTCCAAGTCTTATACGTTTTACACTGAAATGTCTCTCTCATCTTTCCTCTTTTATCTATCCTTATTGTCATTGTCCCAATTCAGGCCTTTAGCCTGGACCATTGCACCAGCCTCCTCATGGGTCACCCTTCATCAGACCCCACTCAGATGTCTCCATCTTGGATAAGCTTTCTTCAGTGCCCACAAGCAAGAAATAGTTACTCTCTCCACTCTTCTACTGACATACATGATAACCCTCTACCCTGGTCTGTCTGTCACACTGTAGAGAAATCTTAGCCTCCTCCGTTAGTCTGGGAAGGAACATGTCTGGTCTGATTCATCTCTGTATGCCATTTGCAGGGGCTAGAACAAAGAGGTCCTCAGAAAGTAGTGTGAATGAATATTTTTTATTTTATTTACTTTTGAGATGGGGGTGTGTGGAAGAGAGAGAGAGGGAGAGAGAATCCCAGGCAGGCTCCATGAGATCATAACCTGAGCCAAAATCAAGAGTCAGATGCTTAACTGAGTGAGCCACCCAGGCGCCCTGGAATGCATAATTTAATAGTTGTTTTCCACTTCATTTGCCAAATCTGGAAAGGCCATTCCATGCAGAGATATTCATGTGCATTTGGCTTTGAATCTCAAAGATCTTCTGCCTAAGGGACTTTGCACATGCCCTCCCTTCTGCCTAGAACACTCTCTAGAACTCTGCCTATCTCTCCTTCAAGATTTAGTGTAAATGATACATCTACAGAGATACCTGTGATTTCTCTATCTAAATCAGATCTCTTCAGATGAAAGAACAATACAGGAGAGAAAAACAAGAAGAATCACAAGGCAGTATACAATTGAGTGCCAAATAAGGCAAGGAGTGAAAAAATTGTTTAGGAGTTCAAGGAATGGAGAAGTTACTGTGAATTAGAAGGCTAGACAAGACTTCCTATAAGAGATGGAATATAAACTTTGAGTCTTCAAGATGGTGTAAGAATGAGATAGATAGAAAGTAGGTGGGGTGGGGTGCCTGGGTGGCTCAGTCAGTTAAGCATCCAACTCTTGATTTCAGCTCAGGTTGTGATCTCACTGTTTGTGGGCTTGAGCCCCACACTTAATCAGTTAGGTATCCAACTCGATTTTGGCTCACGTTGTGATCTCATGGTTCATGAGCTTGAGCCTCATGTCAGGTTCTGCACTGCGTGGAGCCTGCTTGGATTCTGTCTCTCTCCCTCTCTCTCTGCTCCTCCCCCGCTCACGTGAGCATGTACTCTCTCTCTCTTTCAAAATAAATAAACTGTTTTTAACAAATTAAAAAAAAAGAAAAGAAAGTAGGTAGGGTGGCCATTCCAGAGGCTGCGGGCAGGACTGCCATGTGCAGTCACGCAGGTGGCCCAGGAGGCCTCAAAAGGGCTGGAATCCAACTTGTACTCTGCCCACCAAGCTCCAGCCATTGAGGCTTTGTCCACTAGAAGGGAACACCTTCCCCAATTGGTTCAAAGGCTCCCAGGGCTAGTGGAGGTCCCGTACTGAGAGGACAGTGAGGAAAAGGCACTGTACAAGTAGACTTAAGAAGGGCATAATCATGTCTCTTTGGGGGGCAGGGAGCAGACCACACTGGTTGAAACACAAGCCTTAGAGGAAGGGAGGACAGACAATGAGGCCCATTTGAGCTCATTGTCAGGCCTTTGACCACCTTGGTAAACTCTGACTCCTCCAGAAACTGTGTTAGTGGAAAGTCCAACCCCAAATGGGACTCCTCAAAGAGAAGCTTCAGTTACAGCTGCTGAGGAGCAAACAGCAGGTTAGAATTAGAGACTAGGACAACTTCCAGAAAATATAAAAATGTGTTAAAAAATAGATCCCCTCCCACCCCCCCATAGTTCTCTCCTTTTCCTTCACAGCACTCAGCACGCTTACCGTGGGGATCTTGCTTGTTTGTTTATTTGACGTGGTCTGTCTTGCTGGCCAGAGTCCAAGTGCCTGAAGTGTAAGGTGCTCACTGTTCTTGTTGACCACTATATCCCAATGCCTAGTTCAGTGCCTGGCAGAACTATTTCTTGAATGAATGAATGAATGAATGAATGAATGAGTGAGTGAATGAATGAATGAATGAATGAATGAAAAAGTAAATCCAGATATTCAATAATAAGGAAATCGTTAAGCAAACCATGGCAAGTGCTGTCAATGACAGCTTTAGCCGCTTAGGAAAATGTTGATGATGTAACTAACACTAAGCAAACTGGTGCAAGCATTGCAATTAGAATGCTGAAAAACCCTTCTGCGTACACAGGGCCTGGAAGAATACGGAGACAAATGAGGACAGCTGTGGTGCAGGAGGCACGAGATCTTGGTTGAAATTTGCCTCTCCATTTGGACCAACTATATCAACCTTGGGGTCTTCATATCCTTAGACCCAGAAGTCCATCCCACTTCCAGAGGTTTCCGCTGTGAATCAGAAAGGCAGACTAAACTTTCCATGGTGATATGTTACCAGGAAAAACCCTCTCTGCCCCCGGCACTGTGCTGCGTATTTTATATATGCCTTGCCATCTACATACAGCAGCCCTGGGATAGGTCCCATCAGAAATCCCATTTTACAGATCAAGAAAGAAATTGTTACTCAGAGAAGGCACTTGCCCACGTCACGCAGCTAGTAAGGGGTTCTAGCTCAGCATGGTCTGACACTGGCACCCGGCTCCCAACACCCACACTAACTCCCACACCAGGACTTTGTGCACAAAAATATTCAACATATGGAAAGGAAGAGAAAAAAAATAGAGAAACCAAAAACCAAACCCTTAACTATAGAGAACAAGCAGATGGTTACCAGAGGGGTAGTGGGTGGGGGGTGGAGGAAAGAGGTGAAAGGGATTAAAAAGTACAATGATGATGCACACTGACTCATGTAGAGAATTATTGAATCACTATATTATACACCTGGAACTAATATAATGCTGTATGTTCATGATACTGGAATTAAAAATTTTTTTAAATTAATAAAAGCTAAAAAAAAATACTCAACAAATGTTTACACATAACTGAACCCATATGTATGTCTATGTATTTGTATATAAATATATATACACGCTAATCCTCAGCCATGTGAAAATTGTATGCAGAGAAAAACACGAAGCAAATATGCCAATATAGTAATAGTGTTTATCCTGGGTGGCGGAATTAGGAGGACTTCGTTTCTTCTTTATTTTTTTCTATATTTTCCAAATTTTCTGCAATGAACATGCATTGTTCTGATAACTGGAAAACATATAATTTTTATTTTTTTTTTCAACGTTTATTTATTTTGGGGACAGAGAGAGACAGAGCATGAACAGGGGAGGGGCAGAGAGAGAGGTAGACACAGAATTGGAAACAGTCTCCAGGCTCTGAGCCTATAATTTTTAAATAAAATAAACATTCTTTGATTGTTCTATCACTTGCAGCAAGTCCATTTCTGGGGAGACAG